AAGAAATCATATGTTGGATTAATGAAGATGTTCTACACGTTTAAAAGTGTAGAAATATGATATAAAGTGTTGGTAATTAACTTAGAAAAGTTGTTGAATCGATAGGAATCGAAATCGCCGGAAACCGCCACTTCTAGGTGTTGTTTTCGTGCAGCAGGGCCCGAAAGCCGGGCAGCTTTTGCAAAAGCCGGGCGGCTTTTGCCCTCTGCCAGCCAATGTTGTTTCAAATCACTCCCGATCGAAGGTTTAACGATGGGGCTTCAATAGGCAACCTTACTGGACATATCTAAGGTGAGGATGGCTGACTATATTGTCTATAACTCGTGAGTTGAGCATGAGATTACCTAAGTAATCAAATCATGATTTTGATGGAATTAAATGATATACTTCAATGTGAATAAATGTGTTGCTATGTGGTCATATAAATTGATACATGATATTACAAAGGTGGATAAGCAAAGGTATTATGCATGAGGGGAGAAATCCTTGAAATATATTAATTATTGAATTGATATTGAGGATTAGAATGATATAGACAAATGTTGATAAATGTGTGATTCCATAAGATCTAAAAAGGGATATATGGATACCTATGTGGATAGGCAAAGTGATTAAATGTGAAGTAAGGAATACTTGAGTTATTGATATGATCAAAGTGATATGAATCCGTAGTGATTAATTGTGTGTGCTATCTATAGTGTTCAATAAGATAGACATGAACTTAGAATGAGTGATGGACTACGGTCACACTCAAAGGAAATGGTGGAGTCTACCGAGACTATATGAAGGCAGCCCGGGGAGTCTTGATGAAGACTAGCCCGAGGTTGATAGATTTTTTTTTTGCGGTTGATAGATTATGATTGCTTGCATACTATGAGTATACGGGGATATATACGGGGTGTGTAAGCCCTAAACGAATGAAACATATACGGGGTGTGTAAGCCCTACATGAATAAAAGATTACGCGGGGTGGGTAAGCCCTAACGAGATAAAGGATATTACGCGGGGTGTGTAAGCCCTACATGAATAAAGTATTACGCGGGGTGTGTAAGCCCTAACGAGATAAAGGATATTACGCGGGGTGTGTAAGCCCTACACGAATAAAGTATTATGCGGGGTGTGTAAGCCCTAACGGATAAAGGATACTACGCGGGGTGTGTAAGCCCTACATGAATAAGGTATTATACGGGGTGTGTAAGCCCTACACGAATAAAGTATTACGCGGGGTGTGTAAGCCCTAATGAGTAAAGTATTATACGGGGTGTGTAAGCCCTACACGAACTAAGATTATACGGCGTGTGTAAGCCCTAAATGAATCAAAGATATTATATTGGGTGTGTAAGCCCAAAATGAATGAATACACCGTAAGGTGTGTAAGTCCAACGTGGATGAGTACAAAGGATAATTTGTGTAACCCTCTCGATGGAGTTGGGTTTAGACTAGGGGTGAGGTAACCTCTCGAGATTGCTATATGCTAGAATAGGCCAAGGGCTATACAAGGGGAATTGTTTTGAAATACAAATGGACCTACGGGTTGACTATTTGACTTGGTATATATATTCTATACAAGTGATTTGAAATGGGGTACCTGTAGGTTATGCCCATAATATAGTATCACCCTATGTCGAGGGTCTTGTGTTTGAAACATGAATTATATTCAGTATAGTTGTCATTGTACTTGTCAAATGCTTCCAAGTACTGACCTCCCCTTCACGGGGGAGGCCACCTCACAGTTTTCAGGTAGAAGCTAGAGCTTGCTTCCTGTTCCCGTTGCTTCGGGTGATCTATGGAGAGAAGACGTGGTTCGTGCTTCTTCCAGTTCTATTTTGATATAAATAAAATAATGCTCATGGGACTATTTAACTATAAATGATTTGAGAGCCTGCGTGCTCATGCTCGCCTTGTGTGGCATTTGATTTTTTTTAATAGTATTTGTATTCCACTACGTATTTTGAAATGCTTTACTTATGATTGTTTATGGATGTACTTGTGTGAATGGTATTCATGTACGCCTTGCACGGTCCGAGTAAGGTGAAGTGCGGTTGCCTTAACCGGATTGTGCGGCGGTTGTTAGCGTGTCCGACCAGACCGGGGCGTGACATAAACCTTATTTTGTGACTTGCGAGATATTATGCAAATGACTGAAAAAGCAAGAGAAAGGTAGCTTGGCTACTTTGATTGGATGTAGCCGCTGAGTTTGGTGATTCTCTTTTTAACCTGCAAAACAAAGTCCATCATATGGATAAAAAAAATTAAAATTAAGATATGAAAGTTTATACTTGAGATATAAAATAATAAAAAAAGTAACAAAAGTTCCTCTAATGGCTTCTATAGGAGATGAAAAAAGTAGTAGAAATAAACAACTGTATTATACCTCATCCTCTCATATTTAGAAACTTGCTATTCTGTATTTGAGGCAAGAAACAAATTAGCATATATGAAATGGCGATAAGAAGTGAATGGATCTCTTTCCTTCACTACGAATTGAACAATTTCAAGGGAATTCACAGCCTCCAATCTCAGACATAACAATGTAGCTCAAACATAATTGCCTCAAGCCTAGGATGAATAGAAATAGACGGTATAACATAGTATGTTATTTTAAAATTCTGAATAACTTAACATAATTGCCTCAACCAAAATGTGTAGTTAACAACTTAACATATTATAAGTTATAACCATATGTCCAAAGATGCTTTCATAAATTTATTATTCCAGGAAAATGGCCAAATAGTGAAAGAACACAATATACCTTCAGAAACAACTTTAGAACAGACCACATAATCATTTATTCAGGCACCACTTTAGACCACCTGAGAATAGGAAAATCATAAAAAAATCAAGTGACAGAAATAGGTTTTGCAACTAAACTAATTTTTTTTTGAATAATTGCAACTAAACTAATTAATTAACCTCAGAGAAACAATTTAGAAAATACAATAAAACATGTCATTTATTCAAATAAGAAACAAAGAAGACAACAAAACAGTAACAGCCGTGTAGCACTCAAGATAGCCTGAAATTAACATTGAGAAATCATATTTTCCATCCATAAAAGTTAAAATTGTCAATAAATAGAAAAAAATCTAAGTAGCAGATAATAGTCATAATATTTGCATAGGGTTTTCCTAAATTTGACGTATGAGTTCTCCACTTTCAATTCCTTCTATTTATGTTAGCCAAAGCATAATAAAAATAAATTTGTAGTTAAAAACACCATAAAAATGAATCAATAGGCAGGGATCGATTTGAGAAAAACCCTATAAACTTTGCGAGAGAACTAAAAGAAAGCAGCTTGAATCCCTTATTAGAATGCGTCATGTTGCAATTTTTAATGTTTTGACTAATATCTTAACAAATAAGGAAAATTCAGACAAAAATCATATCAATCAACCTACAAACCTTTGAAACCGAAAGATGTGCTGAACAGTGAGCTTATACGAAGAACGGGCGCAGAGAGGAGGAGGAGAAAACCAAGAAACGAATGAAGCTTTACGTCTGGCTGGAGGAGCAACGGAAGGAGATATTATTTAGCCCGAAGAAGCTCATCCGCATATTGGAACAGTTGCAAACAGGACCGAACAGTACCGGCCAACAGCTGGCCACACGTAATTACTAAACCGCGAACACGAAATGGAGAAGCGATCGTTTCTCCCAGCTGCGCCAATCTCAAGCTCCCGTCAACACTGCACAAACGGAAATAAGCCAACTAACCTTCTGCGAACTTTTATATGTATAGTAAGATTTATACTGTGAATTATCACATGAAGGAAAGTTTCAACACAAATTCTTCAATTTTCTTATCTAGAGAGGCATATAGTAGTACCCCGATACTCAGAATGGAGAAAGTGTCATATCAACTATCATTACAAGATGAGATGCTTCTTTCACTATGAGCAAGCTCAACCTAGAAAATAATCAAAAAACCACTATGAGATGCTTCTTCCACTATGATTTTATCAATCATTGAAAAAAAACACCAACTAAATCAATTGATCTTACATGTTTTATTACTGTTAATCGACACCCAGAAAACAACCAAACAAACACTCACTAAGAAAAATCACAAAACACTCACTTCCAATTATTTCAATGTTTCTGCCTTTTTTCACTCTTCATATTATACAAATGAAGCAACGTTGAATTTAACAGAAAGATAGACAATTGAATGAAAAACAAAATAAAAGAAGAAATCCTACCTCAGGTAGGTGATGCATTCACTTCTAAAACATCCACACTCAATCTTAATTTATGGACTGGAATGACAAATCTGGTACTGCTACAAGCATGGGTGTCTCATAGAGAGCTTTAGTTAGCCACAATCAGAAAAACATGGGCAGAGCTTCAACTCTTCAAAGCCGGGCTTGTTGGTGCTAGGGTTACCAGAACTCCCAATTCATAAGCAAACAGATATAAATTGTGAATAAACAAGGAAAAGGAAATGGCATGAACAAGGAAAATGAAATGAAATAGAAAGAAAATTATGCAAATGAGAAGAAAACTACCATGGCAGCTTGTTTCAGACCCGGAGCAATTCTTGGCAGGAGATGATGAGTGGCAGTCCATGAGGAGTTTCTTTGAGAACAAGACGATGCAACCCTTCGTCCACTGAGTTTGTCTCTGAGAGCTTGTTTGCAACGGCGACTTTTAGGCACCGAGGTTTTGTGTCGTTTGTTGGCCGAAGGGTTATCCAAGGGAAGATGAGAGAAGATTTCCGAAGAGAAAAATGAGGATAGAAGATGAGCGATGTTGAGATGTCGAGTGAGGGGGAGAACGAGAGGCTTCTGTAAATCCACGTCTGACAAACAAACGGAGGTTGTATACAGGGCTAATAATCGAAGACGGCTATAACGGAATAGGACCATAGTAACTCTTTTTATATGTATAGTAAGATATGGTTATTGACCTTGAATGAAAACCCAAAATCCGAACTGACAAACCAAATAACCAATCATTTATAATTGGAATTCCAGCAGCTACATTCATCCATCCCTGCCCACATTAAAACCGTTTCCATCTCCGGTCACCACCCAAGGAGTGCTGCGACTGCCATTTCACATTTTCACAGCTCTTCGTGAACACCTTACCCCCCACACGCATATTCCACGCATTTTACATTCATCATACTCTGCTTTTACGAACGCATACCCGCGGCAATGGTTCGAATCCATGTGTAATGTACGTTGAGTGTTCTCTCTCGGGAAAATGGAGGAAGAATTGCTGAAGCGGAGCACTGATTGCGTCTACTTCTTAGCATCACCTCTCACTTGCAAAAAGGTAGACTTCCCCCTCTGCCGTGCTCTGTAATTTGTATTTTCTGCTCTTTCCTTTCCGCTCTGCAATTAATGCAATTGTGGACATCACTTTGACAGTCTTCCTTTCGGATACAATTATTAGATACGTAGTATTTCTCTGGGATTCTCATTCAATCTGAGCTTGGGCCTTGGAATATTGTCTACATTTATTTAATGTACTCCGTATATGTTTTTGCTTGCATAATTGCTCGTGTGTGAAAGGCGATTGGACTTTACCTAACATTGAGTATGGTCATTTTGTCTTAATAGATAGCATTTTACTGTTGCAAAACCAGGAATCTCTTCCTCTCTCTTGAATTATGATTTCTTTCTCGTATTACTGCATTCTACTTTTATATACGGAGTATGAGTTTGTGAAGGGACCTCAGATTACTTCTCCACAGCTCATTGAGTTATTGTTTGTTACTGTTCAAGAACAATTGTCCAGTAGTACTGCGTTCTTGTGAATGCTTTAATTGCTTTGGTCTGAACTGCACTTAGGATTTGGATTGAATTCCTTTTCTGGTATTAGGTGTTAGACATATGGAGTCGTGCATTAGATATCATCCGGGATTGATTGGGCCATTAGTCAATATTTTCTTTAGAAGAATAGAAGCCTTACAAAGTCATACTTTATTCATTAGTTAATTAAAATCCAACACAAACTATAGTGAGTGCTGCCATTGGTTTTCCATCTGAATCACATGAAACTGAAGTTGCATCTTCCAAATGCAACTTCCATGTGACCTGCTTGCAGTCGTCGAGTCATGTTTCTCAATTATCTAATGTGCACCAAACTTTGAAAAATTCAACTTCAACTTCTCAGTTATCTCCCAAATGCAACTTCCATGTAATCAATTCACACAATCGTCTCTTCTAACTATTGAAATACTTGACCCTCAATATCTGGGCCCACTGATGGCAATTGGAAGTGCTGTACTTCTGGTTAGTTTATAAACTACTCGTGGTTGTCAATGGCGCGCCATGGCGCTTGCGCCATGCGCCATGAGGCGCGGAAAAGGCCTCTGCGCCATCAAATGGGCAGTGGCGTTGGGTATACACATGGCGTTGCCATTGTGTCGGCATCACCATTTTATCGCCATTGCCATGGCGATGTGTAGGCTATTTTAAAAAAAACTGCGGACATTTGGTTTGGGATTTTGGGGCTGTTGGGCCTGCTGAACGCTAACTTAATAAAACTAAATAAAACTTAATATTTTAGCCCATTATAAACACACAAAGCCCATTATTAACAACCCTAACAGTTATAAAGTACTTTATAGTTTTTACTTTATAGTTTATGTTTGATTGTTTATGTTAAAATGAAGTTTTAACTAAGAGCTTTAGTTAAAACTCTTAGTTTAGCTGCATCAACAAGCTTGTAAAGTTTAGCTGTTTATAGCTAAAAAACAATTATTGAAAGGGAATTGTAGCTAACTGTAAGGTTAGCTAAACTTTACAGTTAAGTTGACAACCTGCATCTTATTATAACTAAGAAAAGAGTTGAGCTAAACTTCCTAACTTGGATACAAGTTATACCACTCCCTAAAAATTTCTTAGTTATAACATTCATAACTAAGAAATTTATCAAAGCTCTTAAACAACTTTAGTGTAGCTTTAGTTAAATCCTTCTGTTGTATAAAAAAAAATAGCTTTAGTTAAAACTCTTAGGCTTGAATGAAGTTTAGCTGTTTATAGCTAAAAAAACAATTCTCATTTGAAGTTTAGTTTAATTTAACTAAGTAACTAACTGAAGAACAATAGTTTAGTTTAACTAACTGAAAGAGTTTTGACTTTATAGTTTATGTTAAAATGAAGTTTTTACTTTATAGTTTTTATTTCAGCAGTTCAGCTAACTTTATAGTTTATACAGGTATAAAGTACTCATATAACTTCAGTTTACAAACAATTTTCTTTGCACTTAGCACTCTTAAACTGTATGCTAGCAGTTAGCATTTATAAGTACTTTATAATATTATAAAGTTGATGAGGATGGTGTGCCATTGCTATCAGATTCAGACCAAGATGATGAGGAGTGCGATGATTGATGATGATTATGCCATAATCATCAAACAAAAACAAGCTAACAAGCCTAAATCCTAATATATTTTGCAAGACATGAAACTTTTTTTTTGAATATTATCTTTTTGGAAGTACTTTAAACTATTTTAACTTCACATGTTTTGCTTAGAATGTTATTATTCAACTTTTTTTTATCATGTTTTGATGGTTGGGTTGATGAATTGCAGTGTCTATCATTCATTTTGAAGTTTTTTTTGTCATGTGGGCATGTGGCGACGCCATATTTGCGCCATCGCCATCGCCATGGGAAATGGCTTGTGCCATGCGCCATGACAACTATGAAACTACTCAAATCTAGTTCTCTAAATTGCGCACCAAACTTTGACAAATTGTAGACACTGCCACATATTTCATAAAGGCCAAAGATGGGAATACATAGATATCAAATGACTCATTTCTAATCCACTTGTATTTTTTGTGACATCGACAACAAAAGCAGTAGGTAAGGTGTGGGTGAGTGGTAATTCAAAAATACTATGTGGATTCTGATAGCAGCTCTTATCCTACCACTTTTCGATTACAAATTGAGAGATTGGTCCAGCTTCAAACAAGGAAGACCCAAGAAGATCCATTTAACTGGAAATTTTATTGCAACTTATGGTGATTAAATGAGGACAAAATGATAGTATGTGTTGGGGGTTAGCTTAACCTACAGTTAGCAGGAGTGCAGGACTTTCTGACATGTTCACAGCCTCATAGAAACTCAAGCAAGGACTCCAATAAAAAATAACAGCTCTGCTGGTATGAAAAATATTAACAAAAGTGAAATGTTGTATAAACATTATGAACCGGAGGATGACCTTTAATGGCATTTTCTGCTCATGAAATTTAGTAATTCATCGGCACTTTCAAGAAGACATAGTTTTGGTAAAATATGGATAAATTATAGAATGATGTATTCTTAGAAGTTTTTCCTGGTTATTTATGGTTAATGGATATGTTATGGGAAATTGACCTAAATAGGCCTAAAAACGTTTGTGTATTCCAAAATAGGACTGTCCTGTTTTTATTGCCTAAATAAGAGTAATTATTACCATATTTTGGCAGTACCAGACTTTAAACATGACAATATTTTCCAAGCATGACAGTAATTACTTCTATTTAGGGAATAAAAACATGACAATCCTATTTTGAAATTCTTAAACGTTTTTACTCCTATTTCGGAAATTTTCCCATATGTTATTGCAACAAACACTAATATTTTTTGTGGATGTGTAATAGACTTATTAGTTTTGCAAAGAGTTGATACATCCTAACGTGAATAAGGGAGTGTTTTCCATTGCTTTAATCATAATGCTTCCAAGCTACTGCATCTGCTTAAATCAAGCACTTTAAAGTTGAAAGCTAGAAGCAGGTGGAAAGGTCCTTTAAATTGCTTTTCACTTTTTCTATTACACAAAAAGTGCTTTTTAGCAAACACACTAACTTTTATTTTATCAAAATCACGTTTCTTTCAAACATCACCAACTTTTACTATTAATCACATTTCATATAATCTCTAAACTAATCACTTCTCAAAAGTAGAAGCAAACACAAACACTCCTTAAGTGAGTATTAGTATTCCTATACTGTTTGTGGCTGTGTTTTATCTCGTCTGCTTGCTTTTTAATTTTTTCCTTTGTTTTGTTTATTTGCTTTTTTTTTCTGCACATATGAGAGCTCTTGCACCGCACTATGTATTGATGTATTTTTATTTTTTTATAGTAATTTGATTGAAGTGTCGACTTTCATCAGCATTTGGGGCTTGTTAGAAAAATGATGACATATTTCTGGATTTCAGGGCATTGAATGTGAGTATCGGCACAATGATATTGCTAGGCTCAACCCGAGAGAGTGTTGGTTTTGGTTAGCAGGGAGCTGTCTTAATCCTACATGCAGTTTCCGACATCCTGTAAGCTGCGTTTATTTAGTGAGATATTTTGATGATGTGCTCTTCTATAGGCATGATAACTGCTTTGGCCTTCTATTGGTAATTTATATTAACTATATACTCGTACTATATAGTTTCTGCATTTTTTGAATGTCAGATCAGATGTATGTTTGGCAATTCTTTTCTGGTGCGGGGTATTGATTAAAATACCTCCATTATTTGTGTGGGGGTTTAACATGGAAAAATCATCAAGAATAGTAATATTTTCTCATGCTCTGTACCTGGTTATTTTCAGTGGATTAAACAAGGAGAAATTGTCAGCTGTCTATCTGTGATTCCTTTGGTAATTTAGGATGGGGAAATTAAGAACAGATAAGGCCTTCAGTGCTAAAAACTTTCCCTATCTGTGATTCTTTTGGTAGTTTAGGATGGGGAAATTAAGAGCAGATAAAGGCTTCAGTGCTGAAGACTTTTCTTATAGGAGTTGGTAATTATGCTGATTCTTTCTGCAGTCTATCCGTTTGCATTTGTTAAAGCCCCTTCCTAAACTTTATATATGTTATGCCAGTTTTTTAGTACATTAGTGCCTTCAATTTGTATCCTACAAGTCTGTTTCAGAAAAGAGAACTCCAGGGTGGTCGAATAGAACTGTTTTATCGTGTAGTATGAGATCAATGACCCTTTCCTCAAATCTTGCAAAGCATCACTAGGTCCATTCAATGGCCGAACTAGCATACTGATGAAATGATTAAACTGAATTCTAGCAGTAAACCAATCATATGCATCTAAGATTCCACGTGTGGTACTCGTTTGTGTAGTATCATAGTCATCTGAGAGACTTTCTGCTTTACAAGAGAAAAAATATATGTCACACGCTCAAAGAATGCAACTTGAAGATTTACTATTGTGCTTGTTTCTAATTTACTTGATGTTGAAAGCTAATGTTGTGTCAATGGTAGCTTAAACTTCTATAGTTATTGGTAATTTAATAATTTAGTACCACCAGTAACTTTTGTGCAATTTGAGTCTCTCATGCTAGACCGACTCCAGAAAATTCAACTGGGTTTGAACGGAATTTACACGTTTCTCGTATTTTAAACTGAACAATTAACTTCCTTCTCAAGGAAAGCATAACAATATAATAATACCCACTAATTATTATATCAGAATTACTAACAAATGATTATATGTAGCAAGCTTAACATTCACTATATATGAATTATAAAGCAATTTATGTCTGGTCAGACCATTTCAAGATTGAGTTAAACTTGTTTTTAAAGTTCTACCAATATTTGCAGTTTGGTACTAATAAAGACTTCAAAAGCTTTTATCATTATTTTACAATTAACAAACCTTTGGGTTTTTTCATTAGTAACCCTAGTTTATAACAGGGAGTCGGGGAATAATGGTGATCTTTCCTTCTGCACATACTGGCATTGTATGAAACAGTTTCAGATATGCTTGCTTTCTTGTATTGCTTAAAGATGAACTGGTCCTCAAGTCTACAAGTTTTTGCTTATGCCATCCAGTTTTGCATTTCATCTAAAGCTCTTTTTTTTGTTACTTCTCAGCCACTAGAGACTTTTGCTGAGACTTCATATAAAGTAACAACTACATATGATAAGTCTGTAGCGCTTATGAGCAAGAAGACCCATGTTCCTTGTTTTTTCTATCACAATGGGTTCTGTAGTAAAGGTGAGAAATGTGTGTTTCAACATGGACCAGGAGACATAATTGCGAGGAATTCCTCAAGAGTAACTTCCGGAGTCACTGATGAACTAGCAGCAGCTCCAGAGATGAAGAAAAAAGAATTGAGTGTGGGAATTGAAATAGTGTCAGTACCACTGGAGACTCATCCTGGTTTTTGTGCGGAGATTGCAGCCAATGGAAATATCAAGACTCAAGTAAATCTCCATCAGACAACAAATGATCTTACTGTAGAAAATTTTTCTGAAAGTCATGCTCCAGAAACAGAGTTGGAATCTTCATTTCCTGCTCATGACAGCTTCCCTGCTGGAGGACGTCATTCTGACATTGCATGGAGTTCAGATGATGAAATGGAAGAGAAAGAAGAGGGGTTAGAAGCATGTCCTTGTTTTGAAAGTCGTGTTCCAGAAACAGAGTTGGAATCTTCATTTCCTGCTCATGACAGCTTCCCTGCTGGAGGACGTCATTCTGACACTGCATGGAGTTCAGACGATGAAATGGAAGAGAAAGAAGAGGGGTTAGAAGCACGTCCTTGTTTTGATGTTCTTTTCAACGATGATAGATCGAAGGAGTTGATGTATGATGAAGAAGAAGATAACGAGTACTTGATCCAAAACCAATACCATGCCATACATGTTGATGAACAGTATGTGGGCGGATATGATTTTGATGACAGCAATGAACACAATCCTGTTCATGCAGATGAAGGGCTTGTGTTTGAAGAAGAAGCATCACGTGTTTCATATTATGAGCGTGCTACTGGTGATTTTTTGAGAAAACCGAATGGCAATGCCCGTTCGAGGGATTGTATTTTGCATAATCAGAACAGAAAAATCAAGCTGACAGAATGGGGTGGTTTTAACTTTAAGGGTGCAGACCTCCGCCACTATCACTACTACCCTAGGAAGCATGTCTATAGCTGGAACCAGCATCCCCACCTGTACAGTACAAGACGGGCAGCATCGAAGCTGGAGATAAGTGCGACTGGATCACTACAACTAGGATGCCGGGCTTCCCTGAATGGGTTCCGCCGCCATAGAGGCACATCTAGACACATTCATATGATGAGCAGTCAGATGGAGGAGCATTTTAAGAGGAGGCGTGGCAAGCAGCTGCCGCCTTTTCAGTCTCAACGAGTCTCGGGGATTGGAGGTTATTGTCTGAAGAGAAAATCAAGCAACATGTTTATTGCACCAAAGACACTTTCCCAGATCAAAGAAGAGAAGAAGAGAGCAAAATGGGCTGTGAGTTTTGTGGCACGGCCCACAGGACTAGAAGACGAGTTTCAGGGTCCAAAATCTCTAGCCGAAATCCTCAAGGATAAAAGAAGGTAGGAGGATCCCTTCTTTTTTACACCATTGGACAACTAATGACGTTGCGCCCCGTCACCATAGTTTCTCCATTTAGAATGATTTTCATCCAACTGTTGCTTACAAAACCAATGCAAGCAGAACTAAAATGCTACCTGACCATAGCTGTCCATGACAGTCGATTCACTCTGAACAACAAATCATCCCAGTATATTTTGTGAGGAAATTTGAAGGATTAGAACAAAACTGTGCTATAATTTGTTATTGTTTCATTGGAACTCCCGCTCCGGGAAGAGAGTAGAGTGAAAGACTACAGTAGGGAGGGAACAAAGTAGAGAGAAATTGTGTAGTCCTTAAAAAATAAGTGACACCCTTGGAGCTTCTCTTGCCACAGAAATCCCATAAATTTTACCACAATTTTCTTTTCTTTTTTCTAATTAGCAAGCTTAGACCTTCCGTAGGAAAGTCGGTCCAAGCGTTGAGCCTTCAAAAGGAATTGACTACTCAACTGATGACACACGAATTTCTAGACCAACTGAATCCACCCAGGTGCCAAGTCTATGGCCTCCATTACTTTGAATAAGAAATTCCATTCCACCCTAGGCCTTGTTCATTTCGAGTTTAAGAGCCACAAAACCTTCTTTACCTTGTGTCTTACGTTTAAGATAGTGATGAGATTCAAATGCAATTACAATATTATCAACAATTGATCTGCCCTGACACAAAAGAACCCTGCTTCACAAACACTAAAATTAAAAAGCATTCCTTTTAAAATATTAGCCAAGAGTTTGGCAATTTTTTTATATAAACAACAGTACACATGGTATATGGGATGCCAACCCTCCACCTTTGTAGCTTTATCTTTATTTGAGATCAAGGTTACCTTAGTAGCACTCCTCGTGAAACTCTCCCCTCAATCATGATCAGGATCAATTATATCCGGCCAAATTATCAAATTGAAAAAAAAAGGACAGTTTACCAAATTGGTAAGAAAAAAATACCGGAGACAAATTGATAAAAAAGCAAAGCTCCGGGGACAAATTGTTCAAATTTTGTGAGTGAGACTTTTTTAGTTTGCGACTTTAGAATTCTCGACATTTAGTCCCCTAAGTATTATGAAATTGACATTTTACAATGTTCTTCTAGTGTAATTTTATCATGAAAATTGAAAAGTGGATGCCTAAAATGTCAGTGAGGGTGTTTGACAATCAACGGTTGGCAGATTGACACTAATGGGTTCTCTTAGCTGTTTTAACTAACCGCTTTCATTAGCGGTATGAAGTGAAATGTTTATTACTACCTCCGTCCTACTAAGATTGTCACATTTTACCATTTTGGTCCGTCCCACTTAGATTGACCCATACCTTATTTGGTAAAGTTTGTGTGGCTGTAAATCATTCTTACTTTATTCTTTATCAATTCAATATCAACCACATAAACCACTTTTTATAGATTTGTGTGTCACTCCCTCTTGTCCCATTGTTAGTGGGGCGGAGGGAGTAATTTAGATGTTTGTGATTAGCTGTTAAGGCGTAAATGAGTGTTAAGAATGTGAATTTAAAAGTGTGTGTGTGTACACACACACGCACTTTTAAATTCACATTCTTAACACTCATTTACGCCTTAACAAATGTTTTGGAAAAAGTTTATTTCTTTTTCACACTTTTAAGATATATATATATATATATATATATATGTTTTGGTTCAAATAAGAACACGATCTTATGAGAGAAATGAGAACGAATCTGGACCGTTAGATTTGCTTCAAGTGAAATTCAGTGTGCATTAGATGAAACTGTAATGTGCATTAGGTGAAATTGAAATGTGCATCACAAAGGGTACGATAGAGTGGCATTATGTGCGGTTGAATTGTGCATTACGTGAAATTGAAATGCGCACTAGGTGAAGCTGAAATGTGCAGAATAAAAAGTACGATGTGATGTTATTTTTGTACTTTTTTCGCACATATCAGTTTCATCTAATGCACACTTGAGTTTAAATTTTTATTTTGCACATTTCAATATCATTTAATGCACATTTCAGTTTCACCAAATGCATAATTTGGTTCCACATAATACAATCCAACGGTCCAGATTCGTTCTCATTTTTCTCGTAAGATCTGTTCTTACCGGAACCGCTCCCTTAATGAGTTTTGGAAAAAGTTTTATAAACTATATTTACTTTTATTTTATATAACTGCTACCACTATCATTTTTAACAAATGTACATTTACACGAGCACACATATATAAATTCATTTATTTTTAGTATTAATATTTTAAATATGATTATTTTGTTAGTGCTTTTAAAAATGCTACTCCATATAAAATGAATAAAATATTCATATTGATAAAATAGTAAAAATATTCATAGTGGTTTTATGGAGTATAATTTTTTAAATACTAGTAAAATTGTTAGTTTTCACAATACTTGGAGGACTAAATGTCAGGAATTTCAAAGCCGATGATTAAAATTGTTTCACTACAAAAAATTGACCAATTTGTCACCGGGGCTTTGTTTTTCCCACCAATTTGTCTCGAGAGTTTTTTTACCAATTTGGTAAAACGTCCTTTTTTTTTTCTCAATTTGGTAATTTGGCCACAGTAATGTTGAAAGCCCTTGAATTAAGTCCATCCAAACCCGAAGCCTTGTCTAGATGCATTGCAAACACTACTCTCCTCTTTTTTTACTCTGCCACCAGTCTAATCAGTAAATTATTGTAGCCCGATGACGCCTTAGCAGCTAGTTCATGGCTCCCTGCAAATAATTCATCGGCACACTGTTCCATCGGAAGTGTATAAATTAGTGTAGACCGTGGGGATGTGGAGCCAGCATTTCTGCCAGCCTGCAGGTGCAACCAACCATGACATTTTGTCTATTCTATAAAGGGGGAGGGCGTGCTACACCATTAGCGATTGCTTTTAGTGCAGTGATAAGAGCAACGATCCACAAGTGGTATCAGAGCCAAAGGTCACGGGTTCGACCCCCAACAACAATATGTTGCTCAGTTATAGGTTGACAGGTGATCGGGGGATTGTTAGGTCGTGGAGATGCGGTGCCAGCAGTTCTGCTAGCCTGTCGATGCAATCGACCGTGGCGTTTTGCCTGTTCTATAAAGGGGAAGGGCGTGCTACACTATCAGTGATTACTTTTAGTGTAGCGGTAAGCGCAACAATCCATAATTAGCAAAATAATAAACCACCATAGATCTATAATGTCCTCTATCTCAAATCCATCTCCCTTCTACGATGTTGTTTGACAGCACTATGGAAGTATTTAGTTTTAATATCTCCCTATTTTAGTCAAAACTCCTTCGCTCATTGTTCTCAAAACATATTTTTAGTTGTTCAAGATGACCCAATAATGTGGTTTCACTCTCTGAAATTCAACAATGCTCCTCCGCTGCCAGCCCTCCTGAAATAGGCCAATATGTGCTTGCAAAAATCATTTCTAGCATGGAACCCGACTTTCCTTCTTCTACTCCATGGCTCCAACTCACATCCACACCCCAAAATATGTTGTCAGATTACTAAATGTGACTTTCTCGGCCAATAGCATTGTACAACGTCCTTACATTCTTTATCATTTAACCACATGTTTTCAAATTTGAAAGATTTCTTATAACATGGCCCACCCAAGACCCAACCCCAAATGTGAAACATGAGATGACCACTTGACAGACCTTTTAGAGACGAAGCGTAAATGCCATCAAATAAATCCAATCATGCCTCATTAGCTAGAACATGATCTAATTTCTCTTCAAGACACCAACTAGTACCACGTCCGCGCTCCCATCTCCATTGATAACCTTCAAATTGCATGTTTGTCAGACCACTACTCTATGTATATAACATCTCTAAACTCCCTCATGAGCTATCGTGGTTTAGGCAATCGACCCTTGTGTTTATCAATATCGAACATAATGTCATTAAATCCCCCATTATAAGCCAAGACTTATCAAATCGTTGAGACAATTCCCGAAGCAAACTTCAAGAATCTTGTCATCTTCTTTTCCAGGAAATCATAGTATATAGTGAGCCGCCGCTCTGGGTCTCCTTCTACATATTGAACTATAGAGTCCATGTCATTCAAAGTATACTCCATAACCTATATTCGAATATCCCCACGCCACAATAAGCCAAGCCCTCCACTTTGACCCACATTGTCCACAACGCAACTATGTTGAGACCCTAATGATTCTTGCAGTTGCTCTATCCTCTGCCTTTGTGCTTTCATTTCCATAAGAAATATAATAGTCGAGTTCTTCTCTCGATTCAAGTCGACTAACACCTGCATTGTCGCCAAATATCCCAAGCCACAACAATTCGAGGACACAATACTCATGGTTAAGCTTTCCAAATTGTAAATTGACACCATGAATTCTTTGCACTTTGTTGCTGTCGATGGGATCAACTCTCACACAATCCAAACTTACCCCAGATTGGGCTAGCTAGGCTCCACCGCAGTTCCCACTTCCTTAAGTATTGTGAAACTTAAAAAATTAGAATAAAAGGAAGGTAAAAAATCAAATAGTGGCTTACCATTGTTAAATGGAAGTCTTAGATTGCTAGCACACCTTTCACAAGGATGACCACTACATATTGACGAGGTAGTGTTTTTTGTTGTTGGAAATCGTCTATATTGAAGTTAATAAACCAAAGATCATTACAATAGACTCAAAGTAATATCAGCCCCAATATGAAGCCCAATTATTAAACTTTAACTCTGTCACTCACAAATGAGCCGCAAAAGTCGCTAATCATGTAACGAAAAAATGGATCTTAATTTGATTTGTCGATCTCTTTGCTTCTAACTTGATATGAAAAACCTCCAATTTCTCAAAAAATCAAAACGAATGAACACCAAATAATAAAAAGTGCATAAATAAGTGAAATTGTAAAAAGTAATTGCATAAGGTAGGATTAAAACATAAGACTAATGCAATAATACGACTTTATTTTTTCATTCCCAAAATATGAGCATTGATTTCTATTGTACGTAGACTACACCTCCTTTTGCTTTTCTTTCCCTTCTCATCTGTTACGCACTAGCAGTCCATGACCCTCCTATTCGATTTTTTTCTATCCCCTCTCTCCTTTTTGTTCTCTTTCCACTATCTGGTCTCACATCTCTTCTTCATCCCTCATCCATCCTCTCTTCTGCACCGTTAATCCGACAAAGAGATGATGTTCTACTCCAGTGGGAGCACCGTGCCTCCGGCGATGTGTTATGACTCTGACGATATGGTGTGAACTGGCAATGTGCCGGTCTTCTCTAGTAAATATCTCCCTTCAGATCCTCATCATCCCCCTTGTTCTCTATCTCCTCCACTTCTTCGTCCTCATTCTTTTATTCTTCTTTTTTTTAAAGGAAAGAGCTTATATTAATATAAAAAAGTACATCCCCACCATTGCAATAAACCAAACCTCCCTATGAGACTCTGTATAGCTAAAAGGCCCTCCCACTCTCTGGTTAGACACAGAATAGATCATCCAACTCTGAGGGCGACTAATCGCTAACCATGTGAGAGCTTCAAAGCTTTTAACGGCCACACAAGTCTTATCGCTTCCACCTAGAAAACTAGTAAAAAAAATAGACCCAAAAATAAAACACCGATCTCTACTGTCCACAAGAATAATAAAGTCAATGTTCTATGATAAGTCCATTATGTACTTATCCTTTTCTTCATATTTTAATATGTTCTTGTATAAAAATCAGGGTTAAAGGGCTAAGGTGTTATTGTCTATTTTTAAGTTTACATGTGAAAAGATGCATCAAAAGTTTGTTTATTCGGTTTAACTTCTTTTCAAGTCAATTGCGTGGAGAAAGTGGCATTGTTTCCTACAAATGAATTTCTACGGAAGCTTGCAAGATATATTTGAAAAAAATCAACAAGGAGACTCCAAGAGAGGAAGAAATCAAGCAAAGAAGCTGAAAAACTAAGAAGGGGTCGCCTATATGTCCAATTTTGATAAATATGGATGATCCATAGAGACACATGATCTTATTTAGATCATAACATTGTGCATGATGATCCAGAGTTTGTGATATGAGTTGCATTACATAGACATCTTCCTGATCTAAAACTCTTATGAAGAACACGGAACCCAATAATGATCGTAGAATGGACATATTTCTCAAAGAAGTCAGACATTGCAGTTGCGCTGAAAAGTGACATATGCTCACCGTTTTGGCTATATCTCTTGAATTAAACAATCAAATCATGTAATTCAAATTCCAGAAGTTAGCCAAGAAAGAGAGATACAACTATGGTGAAGACAACTTTTCCATTTGACGAGAGCCGGTCACCCAGGCGGATGCCTATTCGGTCGCCCACGAGTTTTGACAGTTTCTGTATACAACCCTTTTGCATGGCGACAAAAGAGTGGGATGCGGCCCATGGGGGCCTGAGGGCGCCGCCTTTTGTGGCTGCCTACGGTAGGAGGTGATTTTTGAGCTTCCGGACGCAGGGACAAGATGGTAGGCGGCCAAAAAGGGAAGACGCCCTCCGCGGGCGCCTGTGGTGGATTTCACGTGTGCAAGTAGCTTTGTCGGGGATGTGACAGAAGGCTGTCGACAATGGCCGGAAAGCGGCCGCCCTTTCGGACGCTTGCCACAAATCTATGGCTATAAGAGCCCTCTTCTATTCCAAACTTAAAACACACTATCTCATACCCACCTCAGATAAAAAAGGGCGTCTTATTCCTCCTCAAAGCTCAGATTTCCACCATTGTTGCACCTTCAACCTTCGATCTTTCATATCCAGGAGCGGAGCCATGGGACTGGGCCGGTACAACAAATATTTTTGAAATTTTATATACACAGAATTTTTTACACTAAAATATAAATATTTTTAAAATTTGGACTGGGTCAAGGCTGGCTGTAACACCCCCAATTTTCCCTCCCAAAATAATACTTGAAATAATAAATTTATTGATAATAAACTTTGTTTATTTATTCAAAATAGATAAAAAGTTCTGCAGCGGAGTTAACCTTAAATGGGAAATGAGTGTTACCGCCACATCCGGTCATCTCTTAACTGAATGCACAGGCAATCACAAAACAAAACAAAACAAAACAAAGTAACACATAATTAAAGTGTTTATTCTTGACTAAGTTTGACTAAGGCATCTCTAAACCGCTCTCGTGGTCATACAATCATCAGTCCACATAAGCATCATCACCTGCACAAATAAAGTGCAGGAAAAAAAACAAAGAAAAGGAAACAAAAATTAGCTTTAGAGCTAAGTAAGTACTACCCAACCCAGTAAAATAATCAGGTTTGTCAAAATAGTTTTTATACATAACTATAACTTTCAAAATTCCATTTTCTTCCCACAAAATTAATTTCATGTTTAAAATAATCATTATAAACTCCAACTAACTCACACCTTCATATAAAAGTATCACTTTCCAAAAATAACTTTATAGCTAATCACTCTTTTTAAATATACTCAATTTCTCTTTGAAAATAATCTCCATAGTCTTCCTCTTTCCAAAACCAAAATCTCCTACTTTCTTTTAAGATGAGCAGTACTTTCGGATACTGATGCCCGAAGCCCAATGATTCGTTGTTATTTACGAACTCATCCCGGAATCCGGTTCCCATCACTATCTGTTGAATCGAAACGACTACTAAACTTGTTCTCTTCAAGTAGTAGTAGCCCTAACCATCCTCCACATTTATCCGGATGTGAAAAATCGACACCACGAATTTTTCCCGGGTGCTCACCTCTTATGAAAATGTTAATTTTCATCTTGAATCACTCAATCAAGATATACTTCAAAATATTTTCCAAACTCTCTAAATAGTCTAAAAGGTATTTAAAATATTTAATACCCCAAAAGTAATTGTATTTCTCAAATACTATAAATTTAATATCTCTTTAAATAACACATATACATAATTCAAAAACTCAAAACATAATCAAATAGCACAGAATATTTCTCAAGTCTCCAAATATTCTCAATGGTGTTTAAAAATATTTAATACCCAATATCTCAACTTTCTCAAATACTATAAATTTGATGTCACTTCAAATAATACATATTCAAAATTCAAACTTTAATCACATAATAACATATAATACGAGGAAATCATTTTGGATCGGCAGAGAAACTTACCTCGAGTCGCGATAATTCCTAACCGAAGCTTCTACTTTGATCTTCACCAAAATCACCTTCTAAGTTCTAAGAAGATTACAATTCTAGAATTAACACTTTATTCTATTCGTGCTATTTTACCCTATTTCCACCATGTTAATACCAAGTTGTTTATTAAGACAAAACAAAATAACAGAAGAGTACCGATCATGCTCTCTTCTTCCTCACGCGGTCGCCACAGGTGCGACGCGGGCAGCTCTTTGGCTTCTGTTCCACTGCTGCGGCGGCGAGTCAGACGTCCAACGAAGAACTCCAGCGTCAAAGAGTGCCCGGTCGTCAGTCCGGACTCCGGTGGTCTTGCTTCTCCCGGCGTGGAGAAACAGTCCGGTGAGCTCCGACGTCATTGATTCCCCCCTGTGTCTCCGATGTCGGTGACAGAGACTCTAGAAATCAACGGCAGCGGTCCTGACGGTTTTAGATTCGTCTCCTCCAGACACTCCTTCCCCGGCGACGTACAGACTAGTCCGGCAACACTCCAGTAAACTTTTGAAAGAATGGCAAAACTATCACCTATGGACTTTAATTAAACAAAAATATGACCACTTTTGTCTTCGACAAAAAAGTGACCTGAAAAAAGGCCCGATCCATCATCTTCTTGCGCCTTCGTTCGTTGCACCATAGGAATCTGGAGGCCAGCCCTAATCAAGAGAGCACAGATACGAAGATCACAGCGATGGCCATCGATCTCCAACGTCGGACTCCTTCCAACGCCGCAACTACTATACCTCCGTTACCGCCTATATCTTCTCCTACTCTTTTCTTCCTGTACGCAAATGGAGATCTCGTCACCGGATTCAGTGGAGCTCTACCTCGTTGAAGGATCTAATGTTTACGCAGGACGATCTCGTCGATCAACGCGTCGAACTTCTCCATGGCGGCGCTGGACAAAAGCGATTTCCTTCGATCTAGTGCAGATCTAACGACGGAGATGGCTCTCTATGTGAAGGCGGCGGCTAGGGTTCTGCAGCGGCGGTTGCTCGGTCGATGGCGGCGATCGGGAGAGTGTCTGGGGCTGGTCAGGGGGCTGGGAAGGGCATGGTGCAGGGGGTGGGGTGTTGGGGCGTGGCCGCGTGGGGATGGGGAGAGGAAGGGTTAGTGGGGTGCTGGGGCGTGGGGATGGGGAGGGGAAGGGTCAGTGGGTGGTGTACGAGAAGCAGGGGTGCCGGCAGGGTGGCTGGTGGCGGTGTTTACGGACAGATTTGTCGGAAAAATTAATCGTAAGATTTTCCGACGACCACAGTGACACGAGCGGTGGCTACAGTGACACAGGCGGCGGCTACAGTGACAAGGGCGGTGGCTTCAGTGACACGGGTGGTGACTACAGTGACACGGACGGTAGCTACAGTGACACGGGAGGTGGCTATAGTGACATAGATAGTGGTTACAGTGACATAAAATGTGACAACGATAGTATGTTTTTCCAAATATATGACCTTCTTAGTCACTTTTTTGCCTTTTTGAAAAATGGTCACATTTTAGAGAAGTGGCTTTAATTTAGTAATATTGAAGGCAAAACCCCTAAACGTTTTCTCCCTCCGATGATGATCAACTCACTCTTAGTCTCTCTTTCGCTCTTCTTGCTTCACCGGCCGAAAGTTTGAAGGCCGTTTTTGGAACTAGTTTTTGATATATCATAGGGGTTGAAGCTACGGATAAGTTTTTTATCAAACCACCAACATCAATTTTTAGAAAAGCGTTTGAGAAAACTCATTGGGAAATTCGAATAGGTTTAGAAAACAAAAGCTCTAATACCAATTTATGGGTATCACTTATTATTGGAGATTTAGGAAACTTCAGAAAATGTTAGAAAATCTTTCTGAAAATCATAGTCACTTAAGGAAAACATTTACTTGGAATCCCAAGTAAATTTGTTGGTATCACTTAAAGAATTTTAAGAGTTGGAGGATATAAAATTCACCTTGCCGATGAATGATGTATTGATCAAATATATAAAGTCTCTGTACAATTCTATCCGATCGCAATGATCGGTTATACAGTGAATAAAGCCGCGTGATACTAGAGGCCTAGTCTATCTAAACTACTGGATAAGACTATACAATAATATATTAATAATAATATGCACACATGAGATAATACGTATACATATGCCGTGTGCGGCTTTGTGGGAGTTTGTTACGCATGCATGTGCCATGCATGTATGTATCGTGTATGTGACATATTATCAAAATAATATGTCTAACACTCCCCGGCAGTTTGAACGTGGGTTGAGTGAATGTTCAAACTGGACCGAAACTCTTCAAATAATACACGTGGAAGACCCTTCGTGAAGATGTCAGCATATTGGAATCGAGAGGGTACATGAAGAACTCGGACATGGCCAAGAGCTACCCGCTCACGAACAAAATGAATGTCCATTTCTATATGTTTGGTGCGTTGATGTTGTACCGGATTTTGAGACATGTATATGGCACTGACGTTGTCACAATAAACTAGTGATGCTTTGGAAACCGGGTGACGAAGCTCGAGAAGAAGATTTCGAAGCCAACATAGTTCAGCCACGACGTGCGCTACACCACGGTATTCGGCTTCGGCGCTAGAGCGGGAAATAGTAGGTTGTCGCTTGGAAGACCATGAGATGAGATTGTCGCCCATAAAAACACAAAAGCCTGAGGTGGACCGGCGGGTGTCGGGACACCCTCCCCAGTCGGCATCACTATAGGCAACTAAGTCGGCCGTGGTAGTAGGACGGAGGTGAAGTGCATAATCCAACGTTCCTTTAACGTATCTAAGAATACGTTTCAGGGCATCAAAGTGAGGAACCCGGGGATCATGCATGTGGAGGCAAACTTGTTGGACGGCGTAAGAAATATCTGGGCGAGTGAATGTGAGGTATTGGAGCGCACCGGCGAGGCTGCGGTAGAGAGTTGGGTCTGTGACGGGTGGGCCGTCATCGGAACTCAGTTTGGAGCTGGTGTCCACGGGTGTGCAGGAGGGTTTACATGATGCCATACCTGCCCGGTGAATGATTTCTGTGGCGTATTTCTGTTGTGACAGTGTAAGGCACCCAGGGCGTCGAGTGACCGCAATGCCGAGGAAAAAGGTGAGATGCCCCAAATCTTTAATGGAGAACTCGGCACCCAGTTGAGAGATAAGAGTACGAAGTAGTGTGGGAGAGGATGCCGTTAGAACAATATCGTCGACATATAACAAGAGATAGGCAGTAGCTCCGTTGTGATTGTAGATAAATAAAGAGTGGTCAACTTTGCTATGGTGAAAACCCAATTTGGTAGCATGTGAGGCGAAACGGTGATACCAAGCCCGGGGAGCCTGTTTTAAGCCATATAAAGATTTTTTAAGGAGGCACACATCCGAGGGCCGGGAGGGGTCTTTGAACCCCGGTGGTTGATGCATGTAAACAGTCTCATCAAGAAAACCATGAAGAAATGCGTTGTTGACGTCAAGTTGATGAAGTGGCCAATTGTGGGAAAGAGCAATGCTTAGGACGGTACGGATGGTGGCCGGTTTGACGACAGGGCTGAAGGTGTCATCGCAATCAATACCCGGACGTTGTGATTTGCCATTGACGACTAAGCGGGCTTTGTGTCGTTCAAGACTCCCGTCAGACCTGTATTTATGTTTAAAAAGCCACATGCACCGAATAATATTAGCATTAGAGGGACGGGGAACCAACTCCCACGTCTTATTATTAATAAGAGCTGTAAATTCAGAAATCATAGCCGATTTCCAGTTGGGGTCACGGAGAGCATCAACATGGGATATGGGTAAGGGAGAGGATATGAGAGAGTTGACATTCTGGGAGTTGAGATTATATACGGGTTTGGGTCGGAAAATTCCAGCCTTGCTGCGAGTTGTCATTTTGTGAGTGGGTTGTTTGGTAGGATTAATGGGAGGGACTGGAATATTGGAAGCATGGGCAATAGTAGGCGTGGGGGTATTATGTGGATGGGATAAGGGAGAAGGCATAGCCGTATGAGTGTCTGGAGTGGAGTTTGACGTGGAAGGTGTGGGGCCGTATGATAATATTTGAGATAAGATTAAGGGGGAGATGGAGTCATGTAGGAAGTCATAAGACTGTGTGGGCTGGGAGCTGGGTTGTTGAAAAGGGAAAATGGATTCATCGAAAACCACATGACGGGATATAATTATACGGCCTGTGGTTAAATCGAGACATTTATAACCTTTGTGTTGGGACGGAAATCCCAAAAAAACACAAGGAATGGTGCGGGCAGCAAGCTTATGAGGGGTGGGAATATGTGGGTAACACAAGCAACCGAAAATACGTAAGTGGGAGTAAGATGGTTGTTTATGATATAGAGCGAGTGTGGGGGAGGCGAAAGATAGGGATTTGGATGGAAGAATGTTGTGTAAGTACGTGGCCTGAAGTACTGCATGGGGCCAAAAATTTGGTGGAATGGACGCATGAAGGAGAAGTGTGCGGGTGATATTATTAATGGAACGAATTTTTCGTTCGGCTTTGCCATTTTGGGGGGAAGTGTAGGGACAGGAGAAGCGAAACGAGATGCCATTATTAGAGCAATAGGTGTGAAATAAAGAGTTATTATATTCACGACCATTATCACACTGTAATGTTTTAATAGATAAGCCAAATTGATTTTGTACAAATGTATTAAAATGTACAAACGTGGAAAATGCATCAGACTTGTGAGATAGAGGATAAATCCAAAGAAAATTGGTAAAGTCATCAAGAAATAAAATATAATACCGGTGACCAGTGGAGCTTAAAATTGGGGAAGTCCACAAATCACTGTGTACAATATCAAAAGGGGCGTGTGTATAAGAGTGAGATGGGGAAAATGATAATTTATTGTGTTTCCCCATTTGACAAGAGGGACAAATGGCATCAAATGCTTTATTACAATCAATGAAATTATTTTGACTAAGACTATGAAAAATAGAAGCTCCGGGATGACCGAGCCGGTTATGCCATACTGCGGAGGAGAGACCGGCGAAACTAGGATGGGAGGGAGAAACACGGCTGGGAGGCTGCCACACCGGGTACAAGTCGCCTTGACTGTTACACCGCAGGATTGGGGTTCTTGTACGAAGATCCTTCACAGAAAAACCAAAAGGGTCAAATTCAATAGACACTTGGTTATCGTTAGTGAATTTTCGTACAGAAATTAAATTTTTGACAATATGTGGGGCATGTAAAACATGACGTAGTTGAAGCGGGGAAAATGGAGAAATTAAGAAAGTGTGGCCGTGACCCGTTACGGGAATAGAAGATCCATTACCGACTATGATACTACCTTTAGGGCCCGTATTAATAAAAGACGAGAGAGTACCTGCGTCCGAGGTCATGTGAGAGGTTGCCCCGGTGTCCATGTACCAAGTGTCATCGGGAGGGTTGAGAGACATGTTGTTCATAGAGGTGTGAAGATCTGTGGGCATAAAGGGTGATGTCGAAACTGCAGGGAGTGGGTAGCCATATCCGGCGGTGAGTGCATGGGGCCGTGGGCCCAAGAGTCCGGCAGAAGGCGTTCTGGGCGGGGTGTGGTGTCCAGGAGCAGTAGGGTATGGACATGGAGGTGTAGGCCAGAATTGTTGCATCCATGCGGCCCAAGGAGGAATGGCCCATGGGGATCCGGGTTGTGGCGGCCATGAGGACTGGTCAAATTGACGAGTGCCGGAGTGACGTCCGCGACCCTTTCCACGTCCGGAACTGCTGCGACCTCCACCGCGTGGGCGGTGAGCAGGAGAAGGTGTCGGAGCAGGTTGTGGGATGGTGGCAGCAAGAGCCGAAGCAGAGGGTGTCTCATGCTCAATGCTGTGTGCTTGTCGGCCTTCTTCTAGGAGAAGCATGGATCGGGCGTTTTCAAACGTCGGAAGAGGGACCGTTTGTTGTATCATGGAAGCAACTGTTGCAAAGGGTGCGGTGAGCCCGTTGACCAGTCGCAAAATCAAACGATTATGTTCGACCGGAGCACCGACGTTGGCAAGATTGGTGGCAATGGTGCGGAGCTGCTGGCAATATGCGGAAATAGAGGCAAAATTGGCCAAACGAACGTGAGAAAATTCGTCCTCAAGATGCACGGCGCGAGCGTGTTTGTTATCCTGAAAGATGTTGGCCAATCGGGTCCATGCTTCCATGGCCGTAGAGTCCGGTTCGAGAATGTTAAGTAAGAGATCTGAAGAGATGGTGCCATATATCCATTGGAGGACAACGGCATCCAATCGATCCCAGAGAAGAGGGTCGATGGAGTCGGTGGCACCATCGGAGTCATCGTCGGATTCATCATCCTTGCCGGCGGAAGTAGCGGCAGGTATTTTTTTCGGAGGGATGATGTGATCCAAAACATCGTATGCACGGGCGGTAATCTTAAACAGTTCCGCCCAAGAAGAATACTGGACTTTCTCGGTGTCAAGGATGAGAGGAATTAAATTTTTGATGGAGGTGATTGCAAGAGCAGGATGAAACGAAGTTTTGGAAGAGGAAGTCATGATAGAGGATCAAAGAAAAACTTTGGCCTGATACCAAGTTGGAGGATATAAAATTCACCTTGCCGATGAATGATGTATTGATCAAATATATAAAGTCTCTGTACAATTCTATCCGATCGCAATGATCGGTTATACAGTGAATAAAGCCGCGTGATACTAGAGGCCTAGTCTATCTAAACTACTGGATAAGACTATACAATAATATATTAATAATAATATGCACACATGAGATAATACGTATACATATGCCGTGTGCGGCTTTGTGGGAGTTTGTTACGCATGCATGTGCCATGCATGTATGTATCGTGTATGTGACATATTATCAAAATAATATGTCTAACATTAAGAAATATTACAAAACTTTTGAAAATTTGTTTGGAAACCCTTTTGGAAAAATGTTTTGAAAAATGTCCTAGAAAAACCATTTCTCTGATACCAATTTGTTGGTATCACTAAAATAAAGAGAGTTTAAGATAATCTTAGAAAATGTTTGAAAACCCCATTTAAAAAAATCAAAGGCTCTGATACCAATTTGTAACACCCCCAATTTTCCCTCCCAATTCAATACTTGAAATAATAACTTTATTGATAATAAAATTTGTTTATTTATTCAAAATAGATAAAAAGTTCTGCAGCGGAGTTAACCTTAAATGGGAAATGGGTGTTACCCTGGCCCTCCCCTAGCTACGCTCCTGTTCATATTTTTCTCATTTTAACTCCAATTTGTAAGTTTTTATATGAAAATTCATCCCCTCGTCGTGTAGATTCTGAATATGTTGTTTTTCATTTATTGGTGAAAAATTCTCTGAATTAATTTTAAGAATTTCGCGTTTTCCATTTTTATTCAAAAAAATAGTTCTTGTTGTTATATTAATCTCCTACTTAGATAAACTCAATACCTAGTTTAAATGATGTTTATGTGTGGAAGAAAAGAACGTTTAGATGTTGGGAGTATTCACTTTATTATTTTCTTTTGTTATTATTATTTATGATCATGCCTTATTTTATATGTAAAGTGTTAAAACTAGTAATGAGTTGTAGTTAATTTACTCTTGGACATGAATTGTATTTAAAAGGCTAAAGGGTCAAATAGGCCCTTGAACTAACTTAAAATATTCAATTAGCCCCTTATATAGGAGGTTTTGCCCGACCGTCGCCAATTGGGGCGGTTCCTGGTAGAGTTTTTTGATGAAATTTTTTGAGCATCTTCTTCATTAAGTCTAGTTTACTCATACCAAATTTCAGCTAAAAATTCAACCGGGAAGGCAGTCAAATGATTTTTTGAAGATAAGTGCGAAGTTAAACAGCGCAGTACATTTCGAAAAATCATTTGATTGCCTTTCCGGTTGAATTTTTAGCTGAAATTTAGTATGGGTAAACTAGACTTAATGAAGAAGATGCTCAAAAAAATTCATCAAAAAATTCCACCGGGAACCGCCCCAATTAGCGACGGCCAGGCAGAACCTCTTATATAAGGGGCTAATCGAACGCATTAAGTCAGTTCAAGGGCCTATTTGACCCTTTAGCCAATTTAAAATATGGGTTGACCTTGTTTGACTGTAAATTAGGAGTTTAACTAATTTAATGGATTAGTTTTTTAAAGGGGAAAATAATAAAAATACCCCAAACTTTGAAGGGGTGTGAGATAAACACCCCAAACTTGTATATGTAATTTAAATACCTCAAATTTTATATAAAGAGTTATTTTCACACCATTTCATGTATTATTTATTTCAAAAATGTAAATTTACGGTGTGAATTGCATAATTTAAAATAGGGAAAATGGAAACTAATAATCCAACCTTTTGGCGGTCTTCTTTCAATAATCTCACCTTTTGATTATTCATGAATAATCCAACCTTTGCACCTCATCTTCATTTATTGGTCCCTGGTCGGTTAATGACCTACTATTCCAAGTTATTTTCTTAACTTTGCAAAATATTATCTTTGTGAAAGATGAGATTTATGGTATAATGATTTGCAAAGATAAGAAAATAGCTTGGAATAGCAGGTCATCAACCGGTCAGGGACCACTGAATGAAGATGAGGTGAAAAGGTTGGATTATTCATGAATAACCAAAAGGTTGGATTATTGTAAGAAGACCGCTAAAAGGTTGGATTATTAGTTTCCATTTAGAATTCATAAATACACAAGTAACATTCTAAACTTCCATTGCAAAATAAATAATGTTATCTCCAATCTATATAATTGCAACACTTTTAATTTTCTATTTTAAATTATACAATTAACTCCATAAATTTAAATTTTTGGGAAAGAAATAATATATGACAATGGTGCGAAAATGACATTTTATATAAAATTTGGGGTATATAAATTACATATGCAAGTTTGGGGTGTTGACCTCACACCCTTTCAAAGTTTGGGTTATTTTTATTATTTTCCCCTTTTTTAAAATGATTAATTTGATTGCTTAAATTAATAGATTTGGTCATTTCGTTAATTAAACTTTGGAAGATTATTTATTAACTTGTCTATGGGATTATAGATAGTTTAAGCCATACATATTGAGCACATTAATGAAGCCTAGAGATAGGATGAAATAATAGATAGAATTTAATTTAATTCTTGTCTATGAGGAATAAATTCAATTGTTTAATATGAGGAATAAAATCAATTAGAATATAATTTTGGCCAACCATGTTCAATACATTAATGAAGCCTAGAAATGGGATAAATTTATGAAAGTAACTTAAATCTTGTCAATGAGAAAAGAAATTACTATTTCAACTTTTAGATATAAATACTCCTAATTATTAGGTCCAAGGATGTACCCATATTACATAATTCAATTCATTGTCCTACTTTGATTAATCCATTTAGAGCTTAATATTATATTTTTCATTTAGTTTATTTTTTATCCATCATTAGTATTTGCATAATTTGGATGCGATCATACCAGCACTAATGCACTGGATCCCATCAAAACTCCGAAGTTAAGCGTGCTTGGGCGAGAGTAGTACTAGGATGGGTGACCCCCTGAGAAGTCGTCCTCGTGTTGCATCCCACGTCCACTCCGCCATGAGATCAATTTTTTGGTTTCATGCATGTCCCAAGCCAGGATAAAGGAGGAGGGTGCTGTGGTAGGCGCGTGACGGCCAACAGTATCACCTAGTCACATCACATGACACGAATCGAAATATGATCAGGTATCGATTCATGTTAGCCGACCCCAATATCGTTTGGGACTAAGACTTGGATGTTGTTGTATTATTATTTGCATAATTTAAGTTACGTACTTTCTCTTATTCAAAAGTAGTTTAGACAATCAATGAAATGTTTTAATTTGGAAAGCTTCCAATAATTTGCGATAACCTGTGACTGACCTTAAAATCAAGAAACCCTTTGTCATTGCTCTGAGACATGATACTCGGGCAGGGGCGTAGCTAGGACGGATGTCTACCCTGGGCCGACTTTAAACTAAAAACATTATATAAAAATTTTAAAAGTTACAATAGTGTGAACATAACGATTAAAATCCAAGCCCATATACTATATCAATATCATTTTGCATTCATTTTAAAACCAGTAGTCACTAAAGCCAAAACACAAGAGGACTGCACAAAATCACTGAAGAGAAAGCATGGAAAACAATATGCCTTATAAGGGCATCCACATCCATAAATTATTTTTGAGATCATGTTGATGATGTGGAGGATTTTTTTGGGGATCATGAGTGAGGAGTTGAGATTATTTTATGAGATTATTCTAAAGCTGGATTATTTTGAGATTATTTTCAACTTCTAGGCATATATTCATAATTATAGTGATGACTAGCTTTGTAGTTCGTGCATGCCCATGCTTCTACCTAATGTAAATTAAGATCATGAATGAGGAGAAATGTATTGGTTTGAAGATTTCCATGCCCTTATGTGTTGTTGGAGAGTATTCCAACCAATTAAATTCATTGAACCAAGTGGCTTGAAAACGACGTATCTTTGTATTCTCAATCTTTGTAAAAGTTAAGTTTCAGTTGATAAGGTCCGAGCATCAAATAAGATCGTCTAATTCATTCCTTTTCTCTAACGGCCAATCACTTATCGTTTTCCGTTTTCCCGGATCCCGCTCAATTACAAGTGCATCAGAAACTACTTCCTCTTGAGCGGTATGAGATATTATTAGGAGTTTCAATTGAGACATTTAACTCTTGTGTATTTGGTGTGCTTGTACTAGGCTTATAAAACGAACGCAATGTGATTTTTGCTAGATTGAGTAGCCATACCTATTAAAATTAGCAAAAGAATAAAAAACTAATCAATATTTTATTTTAATTCATATAATTCATATTAATATTTTAAGAAATTCACTATAGCATTTGACATTCCTAAATTTTCATTTCACAATTCAAAGAACACAAATCAATTGTGACACACTAAGTCACTAACACAATTTCACAAACTAAAATAACAAATAATATACTTTAAAAAAATCGTAAAAGCAATTGTATGCCGGGTAGTATGATGGGTTTTATTTTTAGAATTATATAGTTGCTGAAATGCTTCGAGTTCGTATGCGAATGTCCTCTGGCTGCTCACTGCTGCGATTCTTTTCTTTAGAATAGCACTGGACCATTTGTTTGCACTGGGCCAGGAAGGTTCTACAATGGGCCTGTTTTTTTGCACTGGGCCAATTCTAGAAAAAAATTCAAAACTATATATATAAACTAAAAAATAAATAAAATACCCTGGGCCAGGGCCCAGTCCGGCCACCCCCTCCCTCCGCCCCTGTACTCGGGGATAAACGTTTCCATCCAGAAGGGTTAAAGTCTGTTTTACTACAACGCTGCAAAAGCACGTTATCAAATGGTGTTGTTGCCGGGGAATGACACGGTGAAACTTTCAGCTGGTTTATGTGAGGAACTTATGCAGCTGATCCACAACTTTTGGTGGGGAGACGACTTGAATAATAGGAAGATACATTGGATCGCGTAGGATAATCTTACTGTTCCTAAAGGCTACGGAGGAATGGGCTTTCGTGATTTAAAAGCTTTCAATCAAGCCCTTTTAGCTAGGCAAGCTTGGTGCCTTTTGCATTATCCTCATAGCTTGTGTGCTCGGGTGCTAAAAGAAAAGTATTACCCCAGGGATAACTATATGATACGGCTTTTCCAGCTGGAGGGTCACCATCTTGGCAAGGTATTGTACATGGGGTT